GGTCTCCAACCGTAACAGAGGAAGAAATTTTAGCAGTCTACAAAATGGCTGTCCTTACTATTACAAAGAAAACTTCAAAACTCGCCTGGCAGTACAAAGACAGTTTTGTTATGTTTCAGAAGTGAGGTTTGCGGCGAAAACTGACAACTTCAACAAAGCGACTCAAGTGTAATTGTTTAGGGGAAAGCAAAAGGGTTTCAAATCAGTAAGACTTTAGAACTCCTATTGACGATAAGCTTATCTCGTCGAAGCAGCTTGATAACTCTTATAGAGGATTTTTGAGAAAAGCTTGAAAATCACTCGCCTAACGGCTCGTGATGTACAAACTTTTCTCGTTTTCTTCCAACATCCCGCGTGGGTTTATTGCGCCTGTAAACCCACAGAAAGAGTTTCCTATTGCTTAAGTAAAACATGTCTTTACGATATTAGTACTAGCGTTCTATCACGAATGCCGTTCTCTGATTGGCTACGCTACTCACTATCTATTCTGTGATAGACAGTGAGTAGCGTAGCAGTATGCCCTTGTTGACAAAATGACGGCTGCTTCTTGGCGTTTTCGAAGTGTCTGTGAAGAAGATTTAGATAAAGTTTTGAACTACTAGTAGATTTATCCTAAAACAATTAGATTATTCGCTCTCGATCATGATAGAAATCTCGAGCTCATAATCTAATTGCTTAATATTGACTGAGTCGGGACGAAGTATCAGTTGGTAAAGGCTCTGCCACAGTTATGCATACACTTTCAGCTCTAGTGAATAGTGTAGTTAGATAATCAGTTAGTTTACAACATGCAGCTTACTGTACATTAGGTTCGAGAAAAGATGTGCATTTTACGGGACGTATAGGGCTTACTTCTTCAAAATAGAATTCATGTCGAAATTAAATTGTACAACCAAAAGTTACCTCCCGAAGGTAATTCCAGTGGGGCGTGTCCCGGGGGAGGGAAGACTCTCATATGAAAAGGACGGGGATGCTCGTCGGAAATTTTGAAACCAACCCTGAAGAGGTACCAAGATCCTGTTTTGTGGGTGTGGCTTGAATTGTTTTCATCCCTAAAGAGTACCAATTCTAAAGCAACACATAATCTCCTGTCATTTTCTTGTTCGGCAAAATACACTAAAATAGTACCGCAAAAGC